TAATTTAAATCTACATTTAAATGCCAACCTGGAACATATATTGTAAATAATATATCTGCATTTCTTCATTTCTAAAGTTGTATATTTTTTCAAGGTATTCAATTCGCCACATTATTATTCTATGGCTTTCCATCATTGCAGCACGCTTATTAATAATTTTTAAATTATTAATATGTATATTATTTGAAATCTAATTCCCAGTTTCTTAAACCTTCGCCGTAATGTGCTTTCTGAACAGGGTTTTTTTTTAAGCTCGGAGAGTTTTTTTTTAAATTATTTCTATGGCGTGAACTTTATTATTTTCATATTTGCCATAAATTAAGTTTCTTAGTAGTCTGGATAGTTCAAATTTCTGGATTTTTCTATATCGGATCGTTCCTTTCTTTGTCGATTCCCTTTATTTATGAGAGCACCGTAAGGAACTTCTGACAGCATGGCCACCTTTTTCAACACACTCGATTTGCCTCTCTTATCTTCTATGTATCCTATATGTAAAGAAGCTTGTTTTACATCTTTAATTTCTGTTTAGAGCAGAAATAGCGCATAATTTACGTATGAGTCGTTAATAACTCGACGAAAAGTTCATTACGTTTATTCATTTTTCATAAAATTTTCATGTTTTTATAAAAGAAATCACTAATAAATCTTTGTATATGAGATTTACATACTTTGGCTAACTTACCTATACTATTTTAGAGAAGACAAAATTGCATCTTTCTAGTTAGGATGCATAATTAACATTATTAAAAATAAAGGAAAGAGTATTTATTTTTATATAAAAATGGGATGTGGAATCCGAGCCCCTTGAGACTCGAGGCACTTGTTCCGCGGAGCCGCGGTGTATACGCCACTGGTTAAATAGACGCCCCAATCCTTTTGATGGTTCGCCAAAGGCTCCGGAAAAAGCGGAGACAACGCCGTCCGACTGGGCATAGGCTCGGCTCGAAGCTCAGACCCCGTCCAAATATGACGAGTCAACCTCAAATCCGCTTGAGGTTGACTCGTCTCGGGCGTCTCTCGCACTCGTCTCGACATATTTATACGCAGCTTTAGACTTATTTGAAAAACGGTAAAGAGAAAAAAATTTTTTTTCGAGATCTACCAGCCCTGAAAATATTTGCACTTATTTCAGACCCACCCTGTAGGTACAGCAGTTACATTTATCTCCCATTTTGATGCAGAAGTATTTTCCGTCAACTTCCGTTTATCTTTATGTCAAAAATTGTCTTTTCTTGCGTTTGTACCATATACTAAATAGGTACTTTTATTTAATATTGAGTATACAAATTGACAAAAAATGTACGATATAAAATGAAAATTTATCAGAGTATTAATATAATATTTAAGTAGTCCTATAAAAGCTATAGAGCTATTTATAGGGCTAAATAAAGTGCTACCGAATAAATCTAAGACATTGTTATGTTACTTGACATTGTATAATTCATATATTCTATTCCGCTCTATTTCTAGGAGGCCAAGGATACGCTGACAAATCCCGAGAAGAAGGCCCTCTATGATAAATGGAGGAACAGCGGAATATCAATGGGCTATAAACAATGGCTTGGCATGAAGGAGCACGTTCAGCAAGTAAGTATTCGTTTTTCATTTGAAATATATTACAGAGTAGAGATTTACTGGAATCTGAATATATTTAAAATTTTATGGAGTTTGTTTTAAACAGGTATATATTTATTTTTTTGTGATTTTCTTGTAACGATAATGGAGAATATCCTGAATACTGGACTAGCTGGTACTGAATAAGCTGTGTATAAACATCGAACGCTGCTGTATGTTATTTTTTTATACAAGACGATAAAATGGTATTTTATCGTCCACCGAAAAGATTAATTAATTTCGGGAGACGATAATGCAATTTTATCGTCGTGTATAAAACAATCTTTTTTTCCATAGCCAAGTTACGTTTTAAAAATATTCAGAAATTATCATTTCAAGGAATTTATTACGAGTAGAAAAAATATTGTGCTGGGTTGGCGTTGGTTTCTATGTAATTTGACAAATAAATAAGGCTCTTTAGTTGTCAGCTTTGAGTCATGATACAAAGAATACAAGGTATGATATTGCGCAGGTTGGTCATTACGTCACTGGTGATAAACGGCACCACTGGTCGGCAAGCTCCGCGCGCCAATTTCAAATTGTCAAACAAATGACATAATAAATGTGAAAATAATTTTTCAAATGTCAAGCTCCATGATTTGACATAACTTTTGGGGTTATGTCCTAATTCTTCCCTATTTTAGGTCTTTTTTTTATTAGTGGCAATCTTTGAATAAGAAGACTAAGGAAGGAGTATATCAAAAATCTTAGGTACACCGCGATGGGCCTCAAATATGGCCGACTTAAATTCCGGTTTATCAGTGTCGTTCTAATTTTATTTAAAAAATGTAAAACTATGATGTAGGGTAGACGTGGGGTAGACTCAATCATTTTTTTTTTATTTTACGTTGTAAATAAATGTTGGTAGTTATCTAAAATTGTTATAAAAACATATTATTATAATAAAAATAGATAAGTTTTAATAATTATTTATTAACACAAACATCCGATACGCTACTGAGGCAGGTAAGTCAAATTGACGTATCTAAATTCTTTGACATCTAATCTTTGACAGGTAGTAAATAAAAGCAAAAATGCAAGAAAAAATATATAATTTAGTTAATTTAAGTGAATTTCCTAAATAATCGGTTTACTACACGTATGTATATTATATAGTCACTTACTAGCGAAAAGTTGTTCCATTATTTCACTCAATTTTTGCCGGGATCTACCGCACGCTACAAAACCAACTATTTTAGAGTCTTTTTCGATAAATCGCGATAGTGTCACTGTTAATTTAAGTTCTGCCACAATTTCCATCTAGATTTACTACCTTTATAAACTATATATATACTATCAGTAGTAGAATAAATAATAAATAACATAAAATAAGCTCCGTAAAGACTGACAAATCAACAAAATTTCAAATCAAATTCAAATGTGTCAAATGAATCGTCAAACAGAACTGTCAAGGATCCCCACCCTAGAGAGCTTTTATGGTGGCTTTTCCGCCCACCATGCATGAATACATGGATAGCATTATGCTCCTTCCTTAGTCTTCTTATTCAAAGGTGGCAATTGAACATAATGGATATTTTTGTTTGGTGTATGACGTCACAGGTGGTATGCGCAAACTTAACGAAATTGGAGCTGCTATCGATCATACCTTGTTTTCTTTGTACCATGGTTTTGAGTCAATATTTTTTAATTCTCTTTCGTGTCAATTGCTGATTGAATTGGACCCAGAAATGACTCAAAACGAATTAAGTAAATTACGAACAGATATTCAGGTTGAGGCGACAAATGCCATATCCATACTACTTCCATTTAAATCCCGAATAACTTATGAAAAGGAATACAAAATTTTTCAAAAATGGAAGCAATTAAAAAACGTGCGAGAAGAAATACAGTTTTTAACCTATCCTTGCTGTTAAAGTATCATTTAATCTATTCTTGGGGTTAAAGTACTATTTTATCTACTATTTTTGATAGATGAAGGCAATTTTAACAGTTGCTATGGAAAAAAGTATTAAATTCAATTTGCCTGAATTGTATATTTCAAACAATATACTTTAAATATTATAGAATTTAATCGATATGTTGGAAATGTTTATAAGCATTTATGAAAGAAAATATGGGGTATTTTTACTGGTATATTTTGAATAATTAAACTCTCGAACATCAATATTTTACTTTAAATATTGTGGAATATTTAATAACCCTTTAAAAGGATTTTAATAAAATATCAGATAATATATTTTAACCTGTTTGTTTTTAGCCTACACGATAGTATATCATAATATTTTACAGAAAAATATACAAGGTGGTTCCGAATTTTATTCCGGAAACTTCGGCAACATATTCTGCAGATAAAAATATGTAAAAAACTTCGTTTAAATGTATGTCTGAAGATGTTTAGTTTCGGAGATACAGGGTGGAGAAGTTTCTTTGTTAAATTCGATTTTTTCAGAATAATTTCTGAAGTAACGTCAATATTTGGATGAAAATTGATGTCTGGGAGTTTTTTGACATGAATTTTGATGTCAATATGTCTCCTATTTGTAAGGGGCGCCACCTACATGTGTTTTAACTGCTTTGAAGGGTAATAGCTTTTCGTCCGTACCTGAATAAAACTACTGAGTGAAAAATATACATCTACGTGATTTTTTACGTAAAAAATGTCTCTTGGTATGTCAAAAAACTCCCAGGCATCAATTTTCATCTAAATATTGACGTTACTTCAGAAATTATTTGGAAAAAATCGAAATACATAAATCTGAAATTACTACACCCTGTATCTCCGAAATTAACCATTTTAGTACAAACATTTATACGAACTTTTTTAACTTATTTTTATCTGCAGAATATGCTGCCAAAGTTTCCGGAATCCAGTTCGGACCACCCTGTATGTAATAGGTCTTAAAGAAAAATTACTTATTTTGAGAAAAAAAAATATTTTCAGGTTACGTGTGCTTCGTAAACCTAACAACAGATATTTAAAAAAAATATTTTCTTTCCTCTCGTTATACCTTTGTATAAAAAAAACTAATATTCTGTATAAAAAAAAAGAGGAAAACCCATGGAAAATCGCCCGAGCACGAAGCAGGTCAAACTTGAAAAGAATATTCCCAATTTAATAACAAGCAAAAAAAAACAAAATTGGTTATGAAAAGTTTTATTAAAGTTAAAAAATAAATGAAAAATTGGAAAAGTCTTAGAGGATAAACTTTTTTAATGTATCTAAGCTTATATTTATTTTCATAAATATTTTCATTTTCTTATCTGTGAAAATTAGGTCACTTAGCTTAGTGTAAATTTATTTTTTGA